AATGTGGAAAAGCATTTCGCCTGAAGCCATTTCTCACTGTACATCAGAGAACTCACACAGGGGAAAAACCCTATGAATGTAATGAATGTGGAAAAACTTTTCACCAAAAGTCAAATCTCAGGATGCATCAGGGTACTCACACTGGGGAAAGGCCCTATGGATGTAATGAATGTGGAAAAACTTTTCGCAAAAAATCAGTCCTCACTGTGCATCAGAGAACTCACACTGGGGAAAAACCCTATGAATGTAGGGAATGTAGGGAAACCTTCAGCCAGAAGTCAGCCCTCACTGTACATCAGAGAACCCACACAGGTGAGAAACCATATGAATGTGAAGAATGTAGGAAAACTTTCTCCCAGAAGTCATCCCTCACTGTGCATCAGAAAATTCATACGGGGGAAAAGCCCCATGAATGTAATGAATGTAGGAAAACCTTCTGCAAGAAGTCAGAACTCACTACACATCAGAGAACTCACACAGGAGAAAAACCTTATGAATGTAAAAAATGTGGAAAAGCGTTTCGCCAGAATTCAAACCTCAGGACACATCAGAGAACTCACACAGGGGAAAAACCCTATGAATGTAATGAATGTGGAAAAACCTTTCGCAAGAAGTCAAACCTCAGGATGCATCAGGGTACTCACACGGGGAAAACCCTATGGCTGTCACGAATAGAGAAACATTTCACCTGAAGTGAGTCCTCACTGTGCATCACAGAACTCACACAGGGCAAAAACCCTGTGAACAATACTGAATGTGGGAAACCCTTCCACCAGAAGTCAGCCCTCACTGCACATCAGAGAACCCACACAGGTGAGAAACAATATGAATGTGAAGGATGTGGGAAAACCTTCTACCAGAAGTCAGCCCTCACTATACATCAGAAAACTCAACACTGGAGAAAGGCCTTAGCAATGTAACAAACGTGGAAAAACCTTTGCCACAAATCACACCTCAAGAAGCATCAGATAATCCATATAAAGGAGAAATCCTGTGTGGCAGTTTTTGGCTCTGTGTTTCTGCAAAAAAACATTCTTTTCTCTTAGACACACAATTGGCCTGCATCTCTCAGCTGCCCACTGCTATAGATGGCTTCCTGTAACAGATCTGTCCAGGGGAATGTGGGCACAGGGATGAATGTCACTTCCAGGGTTGGCAGCAAGGTCCACATGACTATATCTAATTTCTCAAGGCCCTGAGGCTAAAGTGCACATGACCCCCAGGTTGGCCTTGGGAACCACAGCGGGAGAAGGCCACCATGACTGAGACAGAAGGAATTCATTGGAGAGCAGGAATCTTCCCACCTCTATTTCAAAACCCTCCATTTGTACTTCCCGTGAGTGAGAAATAAATACCTGCATTGTTGAGCCATTGTTTGTGTGATCTGTTTGCATACAACATAAATAGCCCACTGTAGCTAATTTACTTTGTGAACTTCCTGAGAGAAGGTACCAGATTTTGTACATTAGAAAATTCACAGGGGGAGAGAAGCCTGTGTTTTCCCCTTTGATCCCCAAATCAGTTTATGGAAGCATCAGTGAAATACAGGTAGCTACATTGCAGCATATTTGGAAAACCTTATCAGACAGGGTATCTCACTAAATGCTGAGAGTAAAGTAAATCTTTATAAATATCTTTAGTGTGTCCAAGCTTTCAACAAACCTTCCAACTTTACATATCAGAGAATTTCAAATCAAGGAAAACTATCAACTGGTATAATATGGACATAAATTTTTGAACAGAAATGTTAAACCATCAGAAATTTTTTTAAATATATTTGCCTATATACCAATAGTTAAATATGAGAGGTGATATTCCCTGCCAGGAGACATTTGGCTATATGTGGACACATATTTGGTTAGCATAACTGGACATTGGGAGGTGCGGTGGCATCTAGTGGGTAGAGGCCAGGGTTGCTGCTAAACAGCCTACAATGCACAGAACAGAACCCTCTAGTATGCAGAGCTTACAATTATCTGTGTGATTCTCCATGGTGGGATCCACCATAGTTGTGGGTAGGGAATATATACAGGTAACATAACAGATATTGTGACTTACGTTAGGATTTTCCACATTAAATGCCACTCTGTCCCCTCTATGTCTTGTTACGCATTAACTCTAGTGTGTTGTACTGCATACTTTGTTCCTCCCCTCCTAGTGTACGTACATGTGTGTGACCATTATTACCAAATTATCTCTTAAGAAGATAATTTTTTTCCAAAGTTTGAAGCTAATACAGTACCAGCCAGTGGCTCTAACAGAAACATTATTTACGTAGAAATGTACATAAGGTACATAATTGTTAACAGTTTAAGTCTGAATTTATTTAAACGGCTGTGTTCATTCTACCCAGTGAAAAGCAGTCTCTGGTAGGAAGATTTCCCCTTTGTTTCTATTCCCCACATGTTACGGAGCCGCAGCGCAGGTCCAAGTGTGTACCACGTGCTGTGTACTGAGTGGTCTCTTTACGTGCACGTCAGTGACCGGCTGCTATGGTGTGTCTTGCCCTGTGGGGACAGCACCCAGATCCCAGCTCCACTGGGTGTCCGTGGACTGTTGACCCTGACCTCTCAGGCCTTCTGTGTCTTCATTCCCACAAAGTCAGTAATGATAAAACCGGCCTCAGAGGGTCCTTGTGAAGAGTGAATCAGATAAGCAAA